CCACACCAAATCAACCTTAAAAACTCGACTTTCTGCAATTAAAAAAAAGGAATTTTAATCATTTAAAATACAATAAAGGGTAAAAGCCTATATTTTACTTTAATGGCTGCTTTTTCACTTATTTTTCTGTCAGTTCTCTAAATGCACTGCTGGAGAGAGAAAAGCTCTGCAGAGGCTGCACAGAAGACTGTTGGAGTCAGCCTCCCCACCATCACAGACATCTACACCACTAGATGCAGGAAGAGGGCCACCTGCATCATGAAGGACCCCACTCACCCAGCACACATACTTTTTACCCCGCTCCCCCTAGGCGGGAGGTTGAGGAGCATTAAGTGTAGAACCACTAGACTGAGGAACTGCTTCTACCCTGAGGCTGTTGGACTCATGAACCCCTAACCAGAAAATCACAGTAATGCCACTTTAATTGGAGATATGTCACTTTATCTGTGCTGCTGGTTATCCATCTTACCCATAAGCTGCTGTATTCATACCCACCTGCTCACAACAGACTCATGTGAATTGAATTGAATGTTCAGGCTGCTGTTTAATGCACAGTATTATATTACATTATTATTGTTTAATCTATGTCTTAGATCCTTGTATACTGTTTTCTTTTTTTTGTACTTTATATCTTTTCTATTTTTGGGTGTAACTGGGACCTTGAGTACACTGTTTCGTTCCACCTCATGCACCACATGTGATGTGAATGACAATAAAGTCACCTTGAACCTTATAGGAATATTATGTTTGTTCCTAATTTCACTGACCAGTGTTACGTTTTCGTTAATCAGACGGTTTAGCAAAGATGTCCTCTTTATTTTGGATCACTTGTAAACTGTCAAAAGTGCACAATTTGTTCTGCCAACAAAGATATGACACACTTCGACACACAAAATGTGACATGTGTTGGCAAAATGAGTCACATTGACGATTTTTTTCAATATGGAGTTATAGTTATTTTCAAATTGTCCATATCAGAAGCATCTGAAATATAGTTTGTGGAAAATTGACAATTTTATCACCTGGCTGTTTAAATTAACTTTTTATTTATTATTGTTATTTTATTTTAGAGTGACAATTTGAAAACTTGATTTTTATTGGTATAAAATTATGTCATCAGGAACTCCTTATCTATATTTAAAAAAAGAGAATGCCTAAGTTTCACTGTGGCCAAACATTATACGAAGGGATTTCCCAGCGCCACGGCAACCGGCAGAGAAAATTTGTCAGTTTCAAAGTAAATCATGGGACAAAGTATTAATTTTGAAGATGTACTTATTAGAAAACTTTGATTTAAAGGTGGATAAGGAAGATTATATGATGTTTTAAGGATTTGTAGAAGGTGTCTTTGTGGACTTATTTCACCCAAATCTTAATTACGATAAGAATCAATTACAGCAAAAAGTTATATTTTCACTTACTTTGCATCTATACTGTAGCCAAAGACCAAAAACAAACTTTGAAAGACCTTTAAAAAACCATGAAGAACTGGTCAGGACCATTTTAAAAGGTTGCAAGACAATCTGGCTGCTTGGAAGCAAACTACTGACATATTTGGGGTTGTGTGTTAAATTCTGCGTACTACTGTTCATAAAACTTACTGCACCACAATTTGAACGATTCCACTGATGTTAACATCTTCAAACTGACTTAAGTTGTTAAGATTAGGATAAATTTTACTTTTTTTTTTACTTTTTACTGTTTTAACGAAAATAAAAACTTATTTTTAATCAATATTTTTAAATAAAGTCCATAAATCAAGAACCCAGCAGCAGAAGTGTCATTAGCTAATTAAGACTGCACGTTTACTGTAAACGTTAGGGACATTTATTTAAGACATTTCTCCAACAGGTGAGTTTTCCAGATCGATGAGGAGTCAGGTTTGGTCTAACTTTATTGAAAGCCAGTGAACAGCTGCTTTGATGACGTCTACGTTGTTACACACGCTGCAAGCTAAACTACAATAATGACATTTATGCAGGAGTTTTTACATAAACAACAGTTTTTTTTCTGCAAACTATATGAAATTAAAGTTAGTTAATCCTGCAGCATCACTTACAATATTAGTTTTGTTTTAATTATGAATAATTTCTGCACGAATAAAATCCAGATCCTTTCACAGCCTCGTTCTGTCCAGCGTTGTTGTAACATCAGAACCCTGACTGATCCTTTCACTTTCCCTTATCAATACCGGTGGTTCATATTGATGAGAGCAGATCCATCAGTTTCAGAGATGAACAGCACGCCAAATGGTCTCTACAGACTCTAAGAAAAATAAAAAAGTTTATGGAAATGAGTTTGCACCTTAAAAGCGTGACCCTGCAATTATTAGGAAGCATTGATAGGAGCCACGCAGCTGCTGAGTCAATGTCGATATTGATCCAATGTCCATCACTTATTGTAGGAGAGATCAACCCCCTCCCTGTCCCTGGACACTCTTCTTCCGTCTGTGAACTATTATTCGACCACCGCCCTGCTGCGATGACCCAAAGGATCAAAAGGTTGAAACAATTCAGTCAGAAAAATTAAAAATGCTCTTTTCAGTGAAAGGCTAACGTTAACAGATACATCAAAAATGTTTAATTTTAAACCAACATTTTTCAGTCAGGTCATCTGGACAGTTTCTTTTTTTTGTGCTGAAACGTTTCGCCTTCGATCCAGAAGGCTTCATCAGTCAAGGAAACACACAACAAAACTGATTCTTCCCCCAACAGCTTACTCCAAAGTGGAACAAACCAGTTCTGCTTGTGATAAGATGAAAAGAAACTGTCCAGATGACCTGACTGAAAAATGTTGGATTGTATACCTGGATTATTGAGCGTGGACTTTGTTGTTTCATTTTAAACTTTGGAAAACAGAAAATAACTTTTTTTTTTTTCAATCTCCTGTTTGTCTTTAAACTCAAAGACAGTTTTATTGTTTCTATAAATGATGGAAATGAATAAATAACAGAAGCAGAAATCACGTCCTTCACTGTGGAACAAAACACTTTTTTACATCTTGTTCCAAAATGAGGCAGAAAATTTAATCTATGTTTTTATCACTTCTAGGCTGGACTAAAAATATTTTTTTTATTATATGGGTGTCTTTAAAAGTCTTGAGTTGTCGCTTCATATTGTCCTAACAGAGCACTTCGCTCTCAGACTGCAGGTTTACTTGTGGTTCCTAGAGTTTCCAGAAGCAGAATGGGAGGCAGATCTTTCAGTTATCAGGCTCCTCTCTTGTGGAACCAACTTCCAGTTTATCTCCATGAGTCTGACACATTGTCCAGTTTTAAAATTAGGCTTAAGACTTTCCTTTTTGCTAGGGTTGCCTTATAGTTTGCTGCTTTAGGCTTAGACTGCTGGAGGACAACCACATCTCCTTCTCGTTCTACTCACCAATATAAAGACTTCTATCATTAGTATGTTTTTCTTCCAACAGAAACCCCTTGAAGCCCATCTCTGCGTCTCTTTCCTGTCCTCCCCAACCCCAGCCCGTCGAGGTTCCTCCTCCTGAGCCTGGTTCTGGTTCTGCTGGAAGCGCGTCCGTTTTACTGTTGCCAATGTGCTGCACAGGAGACTGCAAGAAGGTGAAGACTGGACACGATCTGCTGGCTTCCTCACACAGACTGACTAACTGGCGTTTTATAACGTCCTGTGAACGTGTTGCGTCATGACTGATTTATGATTTATTTTGTGTAACACCCCGTTAGAGCTGGAATAGTTTATAAAATACAACTCTGCGTGCGCTTCAAGGTTAAATAAAGTTTCTGTTTTTTTTTTTTTTTAATGTTTAAAACAACTTTAAATTCACAGCAGTAGCTGAACGTTAACCAATAATCACATTTATCAGATTTGTGACGCAACTGTTTGTTTCTGCAGAGTTGTGAAGGATCATAGGGTGTTTAGGTGTGGGCTCCTCAGAACGTGAGAACGTGCGAGCCTGACCTCATCCATGGTCATCTGGACCTTCAATTAATCAAGACTTCAGGTCTAAGGCCTGCCAATACAGCAGGTCAGGCTCTGCTGAGGCCGGATCAATCACGTCCCCGTTGTTATCAGCTTGTGCACGTTGGTAAGGATGTGGGAAAAGAGGAGACCATCTGCCATTAGTTGAGAACGGGCGCTTCCTGCTGCCACAAGGCCCATCCCCACTGACCCCTGAAGTGTCCGAAAGGTCAGCCTGAATCGTGCGAGTGACCTCTTTCCACCGACCCCCAAGGAGGGAAGGGACTTTTAGTGCCCCGACAAAGAGGTTGTGGAAAAACCCGGACTTCAGCTGAGCCCCACAAAAGGTTTCAAAGACAGAACCTTCGATCCCGGCGCGTTAAAGTGGACTTCAGTTGTGATTCTTGAAGTTTCACGTCTCAACTGTGGAGATTTCTTAAGCGTTAAAACAAGTTTACACCCGAGAGAAAACACAAACGAGTGGGTCGACAAGCTGAGGAGACGCTTTCAGATACAAAATGTACAGTTTGAATTAAAACATAATGTTTTACTGCTGCCATGGTTAAATGTTTCCTGAGAGGAAGATGCTTGTTTCAGCTCCCTCTGCTGGAAGGATCCAGTTTCACCAGGTCTCACATTTTTCATTTGGACCTTCCAGACGCAACACTTTTAAGATTTTTCTCTTTTATTAAACACTTTTTTTATATCAAAACATCGTTCACATGATGACGTACGAAACAACTTACATCGTGTTTGTACAGCGGTGCAGTTTTAATGGAAGTGGGAAGTCTTGTTTCTTTTTTGCCTAAATAATCTTTTTTTACAGGCATTTGCAAATTTGTGGATAAAACAGCAAACTATAAGAATTTTTTTCCCCTTCAATATTGTTCTGTTTTTAACACTTTTTGAATAAATATTCCATTTGGCCCAGCTATTTATATCCATACCTCTATCAACATTTTTATTTATTTATTGACAGCATTACTGTATACAGTAAGAAATACTAAATAATCTGCATTCTTTGTTTCAGTTTCTGTCAGTCGGCTACATAAATTATATTTAAAAAAGAAACGTCACAATCAGTTTTATAGTCAACGTGGGAAAAAAATACCATTTCCATTTTTATCCACACCTGGTAAGAACTAAAACCAAAAACATTTCACCGTTTATCTAATAATAGTTTATTGTAAAGGTCTGCACATCGTGCAATAAAACAGTCTAAATATTAAATATTGTAACTTTACAGCAATAGGTGCTTAAGAATAATTAACAAAATGCAGAAATCTTTTATTAAAGCAAATCCCATCTCCAATAAAAACAGTTTCAACTCAATTCAAAAATACTTTATTAATCCCAAAGGGAAGTTAAATGTTGTAGCTCATCATCCTGGTTTCATTAGAGTTGTTAGATGCTGACGGCTGGGCAGGAAGGATCGCGTCTGTTTTGGAGCAGATCTGAAGAAACTGCAGACGTTGATCTGTCTGCTTGGACTTGGTGTGTTTCTTGGTCTTCTTGGGCAGCAGGACCACCTGAATCTTGAGCAGAACTCCTCCCTGAGCGGTGGTCTCTCCTCACAGCATCTTGTTGAGCTTCATCGTTGTGGGCAGACAGCTGCAGGTGTCAGGGGATCCTGGTCTTGTAGTCACGACTCACGTTTCCCACCAACTACAGAATCTCGGCGGTCAGGTACTCAAGCACCTCTGTCAGGTAGACAGCGACGCATCCATGGCACCTCCTTTTTTAAAATTTTTTTTAAACTCATTTGATATTTGGGGCTGTAGCTGAGGTATTATTTTAGCTTTAGAGATATTAATCAGCTGTTCCCAGTAGTAAAAAAAAAAAAAAACACCTAGTTGTCATGGTTACACATAACAAAATGTCCAAAAGTAAAAAGGTTTCAGTAAAAATCCTTCCAGCTGCACAGCATCTGATACCAGAGGAAAATATCATCCAAAAAAGTAATTTACATCCAGAAAAAAAGAGGAATTGATGTTTTCTAAAGCAACATCCCAGAATGAAAGTAACAGTTACTCCAACATGAAGCCACTTTGAGCGGCGCAATCCTAGAACCACCTGTAATTTAAGGAATTACCTAGTTGTATTCTATGACGTCATCGTCGACAATGAGAATAAACAAAGAAAAAACAGAAACAGCCAGAAAAGAACAGATTCTCCCGTTTTTATATTTGTTTATTTTGGAAACATTTATATTCAGCATGCTTTGCCACAGTAATCACGTTAAGAATTAATCCGGCATATTCTTCTGTAATGCACTTGTAGATGCTCAATAATAAAATCCGATACAATAAATGTGTGGCAGGGCGTTAAACATAACATTTAGATTTTGCAACACATTCCTAATGAAGGCCTTTAACTTTTAAATAAAGAGGGAAAGAAGAAAATGTGCTTATTTTATGCAAGATTCACATGTAAACATTTCAACCCACGTGCACTCGAAGCAGAGGATGGTTTGACAGAGTGGTCTGTGCGGGACAGGAGGTTCAGTTCAGAAGTAAGACTCGTCAACGTTAAGAAAGTGCTTCTCTGAATTTGTTTTAAATAAAAGCGTAAGTAGTAAAGAGTCGTCAGAGACGAGAGCCGGCCCGGTTTGCCTTCCTCCCTCATGGATCTGTAAACATGGCAGCAGCTGTAAACACGACTCGCTGGTCAGAAAAACTACGGTTACGTACAAAAGTATCACAGGAGATCTTCCATTTTGATAAAAATAATCTGTACATATTTAGAGAACAACAACAAAAAAAAAAAAAGAAAGTTGCACTCTTAATAACAGAGCATTTAGACAAGAAGATAAACTGATATCAAGGCACTAAAAGCATTTAGCTAAACGCATAAGGCTAGCTTGTCTGATAATGTTCACGCAAAACTTTTTACTTAAAAAGGCGTATTTACATTTATTAAACCTGATATGAAGAGTTACACTCGAGCACGAGAAGCTGCTGAACACAGGAGGTTTTGATGAAGACATTTGTTATAAATCTGTGTTTTTTTATATTCTTGTACAATATAAAATCATGCAATATGTGAGAAAGTCAAAAAGCAAACTATCTTAAGTTAATATGTACAAGTCTGCATAGTTTCAGCACATTCTAACACTGCATCACTTCTTATCGTTGTTAGAAGACACCAAACAAAACAGGAAAATCTATTTAGTCTGTAGCTGGTCCTGAAATTAGTGCATCACTTATTTATTTAAACATTGGCAGTTTTAATTGAACTGAAGTTACTCAGATTTGTTTGTAACCTGTAGATTTTCTGCTCTAAAAGCTTTCGAGGTCCATCTGCTCATTTTAAACACAGGAATGATAAATTACAGAAAAAACGTTTAAAGATGCACCAATGTAATTATGTAGGAAGTAAATTAACGTAATTTCTCAATGCCAAAATGAGCTATACTTATAAAACGATAAGCCTCGAAACATTGTTTTAATTGAAAAAGAGACCAGGTGAAGAGCGGCGTGCATCCAGCTGTTATTCTAATCTGGCCCAGAGCTGCAGAAATTATGAATTCATCTGAAAAAGAAAAATCTCAACACGGTGAAGCCTCACATGTCTGACTGGGACTCAGAAGAGGAGTCCGTTTAAATTACAAGATCCGCAGATGCATATAGACGATGAATATCGTTAGCATTAGCTTGTAGCTAGTAGTGGCTGAACCCTTATGAGCAGTTTTACTAAGAAACAACTAAAATGTCACTCACTTTAATGAAGCTCTTGCAGAAAATAAAATTAAAAGCACCTTTCTGAGGATCTAAAATACGAAGTATAATCCAAATAATGAAAGTATGCTTTTAATTCTGCGGCTGTTTGAATCTTTCTACAGATACACGACTTTTAGAGTCACAGTTAAGTTGAAAACACTCAACAGCTGACTTTGTGTAAAGGGCTTAGATTTATTTATTTTTTTCAACTCCGGGTCAATTTTTCCAACCTCTAATGAAGACAGAAGACAAATAATCATCTTCACTGTCTCACTAGCATTCGACGAGGGAGGCCGAGCGGGAAGTCGTTCCGACTCGGTTCGGATTAAGCTAAAGCTCTTTAAAGTTTCATTCACAGTCATTTTCATCGCATCAGTTCAAGGAAAATATATTAAATATATTCTTTTTACACATTAGAGCATTTTGGCAGAACAACCGAGTGCATACATATACCTTTGAGCAACTAACCATTTAGAGTAAAATAAGAAATAAACCTGATATGTAAACTTTAAAAAGTTTAGAGGGATATAAAACCAACTCTGCTGCTGTTGACTTGTCGTCTTTTCAACGTGAGGGTTGGCTGATCGGTCACAGCTGGCAGGTTAACATCCACCTCCAATGCACAGCTTTTGGTTTACTTTTCCACCAGGCCACTCTGCCTGGCTTCACTCTGTGGACAGTCCTGTCTTTTTGCTGTGCGCACACTAATCCACACCGTCAAAGCCTTGGGCATTTTCAATAGCGATGTGAAGCTTCTCTTTCAGCTCCTCAAAGGTCTCATAAGGAGGAAGATCCAACCGGTTGAAGCTTCAGGAGGTAAAAATACATTTAAAAATAAGGGTTAAATTCAGGCAGGGTCACACAAATCTGCAGTTAAAAGAGGAATATGACAATTTATTTTGTAAATATTGTATATTTTGTCCTTATTTCCACATCGATTTGGTAATTTCAAACAAAGCTAATTAATCAGAGGCAGCAGGAACATCTGAACTGGACAGATCAATGCAGTGTGTTAAGAAAGAAATGGAAGATTACGGACCACAGGAACGTTGTGCTCGAGAAAATATTTTACAGGAACAAATAAAAACAGCTCTTGACAAGGTGCAAATGAAAACCCCTTGACTAAACTAAGACAAGTCTCTGAAAAATAAAACAAAGTTAAAGGTCCGTCACTTTAAGTTCCAAAGCTTTAGACGAAGACTGTCATTTCTCATAACAAGAGGAAGTTCTAGTTGTTCTGAAAGCTACAACCACAGAAAACTTTAGATCAAAAATGGAAAAATTGACTGATTTAAAGCCATTTTTGTGTTGGCTGGCGTCGATTAGCTGCGACAGCCATCTTGCAGTGAGCTGACTCCAAAAGTTGTTCAGGCGTAGACGTACGTCAGATGAAATCTTTCAGAAAGTTTCATTAAAACCCGTCCAGTAGTTTACAAGATATTTTGCTAAAAGTTAAATCTTAAAGCTACAGATCTGTCTCGGCTACTGAAAAAAGTATAAAAAAAAAAAACAACAGCTAAATTATAAGGAGGTGTAGAAAACTAAAAACAGGAACATGTCTGCATTAGTTCCTGGCAAGAACAAACGCAGACATGTTCCTGTTTTTAGTTTTCTACACCTCCTTATAATTTAGCTGTTGTTGTTTTTTTTTATACTTTTTTCCTTTTGACTGTCCTTTTGGTTGCCATTTTATTTTAAATTTGTAAAAAAAAAATCTGTATGCCTCTTTTATGATTGTCTATTGTTGTCGTTGTTATCCACTGCTGTCATCACTCTTTGTTAAAGAAATCAGGTCTCTCTTGTAAATGAGTCCCCGAGGCTCAATGTGATTAACTTGTATAAATAAAGGTTGAATGGATGAATAAATGCACCAAATTTGAGCTCAATATAATTAAAATCAACCAATAACCAAGAACAGAAATCATCCCATTTTAAACTTTCTTTGCTAAAAATAAATAGAACAAAAAAAAAAGTCAACTTTAGGTGACTGGATGTTACTGAAAAATAAATCTAAGTGAAGCGCTCACCATGTGTGGGCTCTTGGAAGTTTATCACTTGTGCCCCATTGCTCAATGGTAAACAGCTGCGGTCCATTAGACCCTGCAAATAAAAACATTTACAGCCTCTCTTAGTGTTACACCAGGGTTTAAATTAAGAACATGGACAGGAGTACTTTATTATCGGCTTGTACTGCTTAGGCCGAGCAGTTAACCTATGCTGCAACTGGAATATGTTTAATTTACGTCCTTCCCAGAAACAAAAAGAAGATTTCTTAATTTAGACATAATGGATAAGAATGAGGACTTTTACAGTAGATTGTTGAATAAAAACCTGAACACAGGTGAGTGTGTATAAAATGAAGTACGTTGTCTCACCGTAGAGTTCGGCAAAGCCGTTCATGGGGACTCTTGATGTTCCCGTCACAAACTGCAGGAGTCGGATCCGCTTCTCTGCGTCCATCAGCAACACAGTCTGCACAACACAAACCGATATTAAGACATTGTGGACACGAACGCTGAAGCTCTTCTTAAACGTTGGAAACGTCTTACCTTCCAAAACCAGTGGATCACTTTGTGCTCAGCAGCGTAGCCGTTCTTGTACTTGGTGTTCTTTCTCCAGTCATTCACATCCACGTCTCCAATCCCACACATGAGCAGCTGTGGAATAAAACAGAAGAGGGTGCAGAATGAACGTTAGCCTCTTTAAGATCCTAATTTAACCATTTCGCATTAAATGTATTTCAAAACTCACCTCGAGCTCGTTCTCGTCAAAAATCTGGATCAGATCTTGAGGTATCAGCTCAAAGAATCCCTAAAACACAAATATTTACCAGATTTTCAGTCTTCGTTTTAAAAGCTCTACAGCAATTTCTGAAAAAAATAAAATAAAATGAAGTAGAAAAATAAAGTATCACATCTTTGAACGCAGTCATCTGCTTCTGTACTCTGTGCACAAACCTCCATTGCATCACCAGGCTGTTAAAACAAAATAAGACATGAACAAACTACAATTTAGAACATTTACGATGATAAAAAGTTTTTGTCTGAGTGGGGGGTGCTGCTCTTTACTGGATATATTCCTTCTTGTTTTCATTGGTGACAACGATCTCCGATCCACCTGGCTTCAGCTCATGCTGATGGGTCTGAACAGAATAAATATAAATATAAGTATTATGTACAGCATGTAGCATCAGGTACACAAAAGCAATGTGTAATTAATAAAATGTTAAGCGAGATGGAAACCTCTCCAAACAGTTCTTCATCAATGGTGAACATCAGGTCCAAGACTTCTGGGTCATTCTCCAAAATCCACTTCAGGGAGTTGAAATACTCACTATCCTGAATAAATAAATGACATTAAAACTTTATATATTTCCAGCTCATATGCAATTTTTAGATTCTTTCAAGAGTCTGAATAATTCTTGTGAGACTCACAACAGACTCCATGTCCTGCAGGGTAATGAGCTTCTGTAGCATCATTTTGTAGAAAGGTCGTATGAAGAAAGCTTTAAATAACATAAAGATATTAGAACCTACAAAATCCTTCACTTTCTATGGGCTGTGACAATAAATAGTCTCAGCTGTAATAAAGTGAGTGCAGCTGGGTAAGACTTACCATCGAGAAGTTTCCCATGATATACAGCCATACCTGCAATCCGACCAATGAACTTGAAGTAGGACAGGTGGTCCTCGTTACATAAACCTGAGTTAGGGTTAATCTGCAGCGTGTAGTTGTCTCTGAAACACCAAGAACAACAGAAGGAAGAAGATTTTTCAGTATCACACCTGAAACCTGCCCCTAGCTGACAGTATGAATACTTGTCGGTCCAACCCATAAAAAGCCTAAACCAGCGGTGTCCACTCTTGGTCCTAGTGGGCCACTATCCATCATGTTTGGTCCTAGAGGGCCACTAGCCATCATGTTTGGTCCTAGAGGGCCACTAGCCATCATGTTTGGTCCTAGAGGGCCACTAGCCATCATGTTTGGTCCTAGAGGGCCACTAGCCATCATGTTTGGTCCTGGAGGGCCACTATCCCTCATGTTTGGCCCTAGTGGGCCACTATCCATCATGTTTGGTCCTAGAGGGCCACTATCCCTTATGTTTGGTCCTAGAAGGCCACTACCCCTCAAGTTTGGTCCTAGAGGGCCACTACCCCTCAAGTTTGGTCCTAGAGGGCCACTATCCCTCAAGTTTGGTCCTAGAGGGCCACTATCCCTCAAGTTTGGTCCTAGAGGGCCACTATCCCTCATGTTTGGTCCTAGAGGGC